GACATTTGCTTTAGCGAGGAAAGATTCAATAGTGTATAACGTTACTAATACTGCTAATGTACTATATTATTCATTGTATATAGGTATTATTGTTCTTGAGTTAGGTTAGGTTGGGTTAGGTTAGGTTAGGTTAGGTTAGGTTGGGTTAGGTTAGGTTAGGTTGGGTTGGGTTAGGTTAGGTTGGGTTAGGTTAGGTTGGGTTGGGTTAGGTTAGGTTAGGTTAGGTTAGGTTAGGTTAGGTTAGGTTATATCGTTTTGGTCCCGTTATCTTTTTCTTTATATTCTTCTTGTGTTTTTTCTTTGTTTTTTCCTGCAGTTCTTTTTTCCTTGTTAAAGTTCTATTACTAAAATATTATCAATTTCTTCTTATTTTAAAATGTATTTGTTATTTCATCACATAATTAATTCTTTTAGGTTAAATTTCTCCATCTACAAAACTGCTTCAACTTGAATGCCTTACCTTACTTACCTTGTCCCGTTCATTTTATTATATTACCTACGTCGTTCGGTCACCTATATAGGAATTGTTCCCTTCCTCCCCTCATCTATAAAAGTTTATTACCTTGTATCCTCACGTAGTTATTTAACCTCTTCTTCCTCCAGCCCAGGGCCCCCTACACACACACACACACACACACACACACACACACACACACACACACACACACATGCATGCCTAGGTCTGTGTGTGTGTGTGTGTGTGTGTGTGTGTCACCTTAGTTCTCGCAGTGTTCCCAGCGACCTCAGCAATTAGTGGATTTCCGGCCTGATTTTTTTTTACCCTTGTTTTGTTTTGGGCGCGTGTTTTGGGGGAGGTGCCTAATGATGGTGGGAAGCCTAAGAGGGCGAGGCAGGCCAGGGACAAGGAAGAAGGATGCCAAAGATGGGGAAATGAGGAAGGAGGAGGAAAGAACAGAGGAAATAACGTAAGATAAAGAGAGAAACTCATAAACAACTTATACAAAAAGAAAGAAAAGCTCAACAAGTGGAAGGGAAATTAAAGAATAACAGAGGATAGGTCGTATAAGAATGAGTGAGGCAGGACATAAGAGAGTAAAGAGTGGAATATCACAAAAAGGAGAGATGACGGAAAGAAAAGAGAAGACGCAGATGAGGAGAGATATTAGAGAAAATTATAAAAAGAAAGGATTATAGGAGGACGGTGAGAAAAGTACTACAAGGAGGAGAGGGAGGGAGAGAGGGATGTGGGGAGTGATAGAAGGAAGACGCCGGGGAAAAGAGGAGTAACAAAAAAAGAGGAGGCAGCTGTTCGAGGGAGTAGGAGTGAATAAAGAGGAAGACGATGGACGTACAAGATATAAATAATAAGTATAAACTGACTATTAAACTGAACGACACGAGGATTATGGATGAGAAATCAGAAATAAACCCAAGATTAGGAACAAGGAGATGGAGTAAATGGGATAAAAAAGAGGAAGAATTTGACTGATAGAGGCACAGAGACTAACGACCATGAAGACCGAGGCACCAACAGGAAGAAGGCAGAGGAGGGGGATGACTCACCACACCCTCATAAATAAGACAGACGTGTGCCACAGTATACAGTAGGCCTCAGGGGGCAGAACTCCTTCACATGACCTCTCACCTCACCATAATCTGCTCCACCTGTTGAGTTATACATTGCTCCATTCACCTCCTACTCTTCCATGACATTTGTGTGTAAAGATGACACCTATAGTGACAACCTGTGTGTGTGTGGGTGGGTGGGTGGGTGGGTGGGTGGGTGTGATGTTTTTGTTTTCGGTTGGTCCAGTAGCTTCAGTAGCCTCCAGACACCAACATAAGTCCATTTAGTGTAGTTCACTCAGATTTGTTGCTGTAGGACTTTGTTATGGTGCTGTATGGACAAGTTCTATCTGGTAAAACGGCCAACAGGACGACTCATGTGAGTGAAACCTGTTGTAACGAGATCATCGTGTCTCCTTGTTACTCTCAGGGAGGAAACACCAAAAGGAAATGACTAACTTGGGAACTTGCAAACTTTCATAGCCATTCATTTAATTCAGCAAGAAAAAAAATCCATGGAAAAGGAACTTTTGTGTTCAGATAGATAATGAACAAGAGTGTGTGAGTGTACAAGCTGTGTGTTCAGATGGAGAACTCTTTGTCAGTCCGCTGCTCACCGTTTAGACACAGTAAAAGACTGTCTCTGGCTCCTGTTGAAAGCGTATGTAATTACTTTCAGTGATTACTGTGCCTGGCTATCTCAGGCATATATATATATATATATATATATATATATATATATATATATATATATATATATATATATATATATATATATATATATATATATATATATATATATATATAGATAGATAGATAGATAGATAGATAGATAGATAGATAGACAGATGTGTGTGTACACAGTTAGAATTAGTTGAACGTAACCAGTATGTTGCTTATTAAGGACAATGTTACCCACCATCAGCATTCCTTCCCTGTGGTCTATTGTGCTGGCGTCCCTCTGGGGTCGAGGAAGGTAGGAAGGAGGGCTGTCCATCATATAATCTGCCACTCAGAGAGACTCCACGATACGTATGGACGATTAAACCATTCACTCCGATAGATACGATACCCATGCTACTCGTTTTTTCGAATGTCCAGTGTCCTACAACTGGTGGGATGGTAACCCCCAATACTGAAGGGAGAGAGAGGGTCTCCAGGTTCAGGTCTGGTACACTTAAGACCAGTTTTGCGTAATTCATGTTGCAACTCGCGGCAACAAATGCAACAATGCCATGAATTATTTGGGTCGTATTGTGGTTCTGTTTCTGATATATACATCAGACAGTTATAAGATTTATTTACCATAACGCTCTTAACATTTGTCTCTTCAGTCGTCGTTAATCTGGTCAACACTCTGTTAAACTTGTTCTTTAAATACACCTGCAGACAATTTTGGAATCCTGCATTTCTGAGCTGTAGTTCTGTCACGCTGGTTACTACCGCTTATGGAAGCTGCCCAACAACAGCCAGGGAGAGTAATGATCTGGTACATCGTGCACGTCTACACTACTACTGTCCACTGTGTATACATGCACCGTGTATTGTACATTATTTTTCGTTTACCTTTAAATACAGCTCATCACGTCACAAGCCGCGGGTCATGTTGATGGAGCTGGGCTTTACTGTATGTGGAATAATGATGTTCCCTGAGCATTTTACTTAATACCGTAAACATTTTCCATGTAACTTGTAAAGTTTAGGAATATAAATCAAACGAAACTGCCGTGAAAAAAGTTTGCATAAGTTTATTGATGTGATCTTTGTGGACAATTAGATATTTATACATTAGTCTCTCGTACAGTAAGACCCTTAAGTTAACTCTTTGAGGACGATGGTTTAAAATAACGTTACCCATTGTTACAAAAGAAGGGACAGACGTAACAGTCCACACGAGAATTTATAAACCAGGAGATGCGGAGGTAAATGGTGAATGAGGTGGCCAAGGCTGGAGGGGCAGTTATAGTGATGAATATTGTGCGTGTAAGGGTGTTGGCGCAGTGCTCACTCTACAGGTAGCATAAGGTATAAGGGAAACCAAGAACTGTACGGGAACATCGGGTATTAGGGAAACCAAGAACTATACGGGAACATCGGGTATTAGGGAAACCAAGAACTATACGGGAACATAGTGTATTAGGGAAACCAAGAACTATACGGGAACATCGGGTATTAGGGAAACCAAGAATTATAGGGAATATCGAGTATAAGGGAAACCAAGAACTATACGGGAACATCGGGTATTAGGGAAACCAAGAATTATAGGGAACATCGAGTATAAGGGAAACCAAGAACTATACGGGAACATAGTATATAACGAAACCAGGAACTACACACGGATTGTACTGTATCTAATCGTGTAGTAGAAACCTCACTCATGTACAGCGAGGAGGAGTCAGGGAAGAAAATGGTTGTTGGAAAGATACATTTTTTTTGCACTTTTAACATTATGAGAGTAAAGTACAGTGCCAGGAGCCGAGACGAGGAAATACTTGTTTTATTACACCTGTTAACTTGTGTCTAATAATTCCTGAACTAATACAACTAATAAGATAGTCTGTTAGAGTGTAGTGTTTAAGATATCTGGATGAGTAAGAATATGAATAAAGATGAATAACATATGTATAACTGAGAGAACGATGAATGAAGTTGTATAAAATGTATATTACAAGAATTTATTTTAAAGGCGCCTGGATATTGATTAGATATTTATTAGATTTGTGGAACCTGTGATGAGAGGCTGATTAAGGTGGTGTACATTGACCAGAGGATAGTGCTGGGAAGGGGAGGAGGTGGACGATATGAGTCACTGGGCTGTAAAGATGGAGCGAGTTACGCGTCAAGTATCATGTCGAGGAGAATGAAAATATTGATCTTGTACAGTGAAGAAGAAATGTATCGGGTGATAAAGTGAATAAGGGTTTAGAAGTTTCATGAAGTAAAAGTTGACCCTAGAGAGCAAAAAGTGTATTAGTTTAATCCAAGCTCTCGTCGATCATAGTGTTAAGATGACAAGTAGCAGTGGAATATTTTATCTCTGTGGAAGTCTTGATTTATTGTCTTTACATAGAGTTAAAGAAAAAAATATTGTTTTGTCGTAGTTTCTTGTGAGTATTGTTGTTCAACCTGTTATAGCCTAAACACCGAGGCTGAAGCTTCAATAATAGAGCCAGCAGGGGTTTCTCTCTCTCTCTCTCTCTCTGTTCTTGTCAAGTTGTTTATTTATTACAAGATACATGTTGGGGCGCCTCTTCAGGAGTTTTGCTGTAACTGAAACTCAATAATGTATTTACAACAGTCCCGTCCCTCAGAGTTGTGGGGTATACTAGTGTTAACCAGAGTTTACTGTATACACATCAACACTTTAAAACTTCTCACTCTTAGTAATCGATTATTCTTGTTACCTAGACACTCAGTAGTATTAGGTAGTGAATTAAACAGTACATAATTTAAGCATTTTTATTTATAAAAGTATAAAATATAGATATACTTTAGATATGCATAGTACAGTATAAGAATATTTTATAGTAACCAAATTTGCATATACAACAGGAAGACAGTGAGTACTGAAGAAGGCACCGAATATGATTGGCACAGTGGTGATTCTCTGTCCCCCCTGCCCCCTACACGTGACCACACAGCAGCTCTGACACTTGAATGTTTATACGAGACGTGTCACTGTAGAAGTCCCATGTAGGAGTGAGAGGAGCAGAGCAGCTCATATACATAAGGCATAATAAAGACAGATTCAGGAAGTATCGTTGACACAGTCTAGGGTCACACCAAAAGTCTTATTAGTCTCACCATAATGTCTCAATAAACCTCTAACAGGCATAATTCACAAAGTTTCTCACTGGGGTAGAGAGGCTGCCACTCATACTTATGGACGAGAGGTTACTGTAGTCCTCGAGCTACGGTCAGTGGTTTGGGGGAAGCAGGAATTAGTCTTACATGATTTATCCGTTGACAACAAACTGCTTACAATTAAAACATGTGCACAAGTTCTACTAATCTCCGTCTCTTGGGTGTTTCACATGTTCTTCACCTTAAGTTTTATATTGTCACTCTACCCTCTCATTCATAATCTCTCCTCACACTCACTAATCTCCTCCATTCCTAACCCTTCCTCTTACACTTTCCCCCATTTCCGACCCGCTCTCTCCCTCTTCCCTTCTTTCTCAGGGTGGACTCTCACGCTGCCCTTCCTTTCTTCCCAGCCGCCTCTTCCCCCCAGCGAGACTACAATAGGTGGGACTGGTGGAATGCAGGTACGTTGAGGAGACCCACGGTGCTGGTGCTGAGGGTCTCGGGTAAAGCTGAGGACAACCCGCCTGGCGAGGCTCACACCTGGCCGTTCACACACTGGGCCACCTCTAACACATCCCACCGGTATTGTCCACTCACCGCTCAAACTTGACTCCCATGAAAATGTTGTTAGGTTCATTAAGATTTATAGAGCCATAAAATGATGTTAATAGAGCATCTTGAGACATGATGAATCCTTTTATGAATGGCGCCGAGTAGTTTGTCGTTTACGGTGTCCCCATACTTAGTGTTACACATATTAAGCCAGAGGCTCTGAGGCGGGCGACCAACACTGGGTGTGGCTTGACTAGACACAGCGCTATCCCTGGCACTGAGTGACACTTTGGCACCTCATACGTTGACTCGAGCACAGCTAACCACGTGTCTCCCTCCACAGTGGAGACACAGTGGTCATGTTTACACGATAACTAATAATTTAAACCTTACCTTTGATAGGTCACTGGTAGGTTCACAACTCTAGTTTAATACTGTTCAATAAGTTTTCACATCTTGGCACGTTTTGTAATATCACTGAAAGTAGCACTCAGTCTGCATGTGAATGTGTGCGTGATTGTGTTTGGGTGTATGTGTGTGTTGTGTTTGGTCAGAGGGCGACGGGTGAAGCCTGGGTCAGAACTAAGGGCCTCGTGGGACGCACGCCAGGACAACCGTGGTCTTCATGTTTTACTAACAATGACATACGGGAGAAGGTCTTAGGGCAGGTCCTGCACGCATATTTCTTAACATCTGTGTGAGTCTGGAGGTGTGCCCGCAGGTTGCTGCGGTCAGCGAAGCAGCGGTCACACTGCGGACACTGGAAGGGCTTCTCACCGGTGTGGGTCCTGATGTGCCCCTGCAGCAGCCAGGGCCGCGAGAAGGCCTTGCCACAGAGCTGACACTTGCAAGGCAATGTGTGGGTGCGGATGTGCATCTTGAGGGCACCCAGGCTTGTGTACACTTTGTCACAGTGTTTGCACGCGAAAGACCGACCCGCGTCCTTCAGGCAGTGGAACTGCCGATGCTTGGCCAGGCCGGCCATGGTAGCGTAGCGTCGACCACAGTCTGGACAAGCCAGGCGGGGTCCACGACCCTCCTGTTGTCCCTCGGGGCTGCTCTCGCTGCTGCTCGACCCTGCCTCACCCGGGGGCGACACAGACCCACCCCGAGAGCGAGCTGCTGGACTGGAGACATCCCTATGGGAGGTGGGCGTGTGGGCGGACTGAAGTGGTGAGGGGAGGCCGTACACACCTAGAGGAAGATAGGGGTGGTAGTGCCACGGGCGGACCCCCACACCTCGCTCCCTCAGCACATTACGAAGAGGGTCCCTCGGGGTGGGGGGAGCGTAGGGGCTGGTGTGGGTGGTGGGCGTCCCTCCAGGAGCCCGTAGCACTGTTGGACGCCCACAAGCTGCCGCCACCTCACTGATGAGACGCAGGCCAGCGCTGCTCATGAAGCTATTACTGCCAGTGTTGAAGCTGGTGCTGAAGGTGCTGCTGCTGTTACTGCTGCTGTAGCTACTAACACTGCTGCTGTTGGTGATGTTGTTGTTACTGATACTGTTGTTGGTGATGCTGTTGTTGGTGATGCTGTTGCTGGTGATGCTGTTATTGGTGATGCTATTGTTGGTGATGTTGTTGTTGGTGATGTGGGTGTTGGTGATATTGGCGGCGATGCTGATGTTGCCCCCAACTAACCCAAGCAAGGCTGTGACGTCAGCGGGACGGCGAGGTGTTAGGGTTGAGGTGGGCGTGGCCGATGATTTGGTAGGGTAAGGCAGGGGTGTGGGAGCCAGCATCACGGGCGGGGTCACCGGGGTGATGGGCGTGGTAGGCGTGTGTACTCGACGACTCTTCATACTGAGGTCCTGAGGCTGCATGTTCTCGTCATCCTCTGTAACACACAACGACACGTTAACTTAGGTGTGTCTACGACTACCTGAACCACCACACATTATTTCATAATTAATCAAAGGTAACTGACGGATATTTCAAGTGTAAAGGCAAACATAACATTTATGTCTTCACTTACCCGTGTTAGAGTCGAGGGTGTAGTTGAACAGCGCCAGTGGCCTCTTCTTGGGCGGGCGCGCAATGTACTCCTTGTGTGTGGAAGACATGTTGTGGGTGTTGAGGTGTACGCGTCTTGAGTTGTTGGTCACGCCGCGCGGCTTTCACGAACACCGCGCCGAGATTGATGCACTATTACGCACGTGCCATCGTCTCGAGACCTTATATAGCCTCGGATTCACATGGCACGCGCCAACCCTGCACGCGTCGCCAATAGCCGAGTGCGTAGGGGATGACGTCATAATTCTTGGCCAATACTTGCGTTCGGGGTAGTGACGTCACGTGGCCAGGCCAATGATCGCGCGTGCTCGACCCAGGCGCCACATTTGAACGTTTGGGCAGGTGGCGGCCCGTGGCAGCTGCGCGTGCTACCTCCTCCCTCCCTACCCACCCCCCACAACACACTATACACTGATTTAAACCCTCAAGCAAGACAATCACAACTAACACCACCGTCGGGACGCTGATGGCCAACTGACACAACACAGTAACGGTAAACACACCACACCTCATCAATACTCGCCGCCTCCTTCCTCTTTATTAGTAATTGTTATTATTTTTCTTTCAAGCAATGATTTAGTACATCAGTAAAGCTGACACCCACGATGTCCTACTATACTACACGTGTGCAGGATAGCCCGTGCTCATAACCAGCAGACAAGTCTAGGATAGCACGTGCCCATAACCAGCAGACAAGTCTAGGATAGCACGTGCCCATAACCAGCAGACAAGTCTAGGATAGCACGTGCCCATAACCAGCAGACAAGTCTAGGATAGCTCGTACCCACAGCCAGTAGACACGTCCATGGTATCACGTGCCCATAACCAGCAAACACCTCCAGGATATCACGTGCCCATAGCCAACAGACAAGTCCAGGATAGCGCGTGCCCATAACCAGCAGACACCTCCAGGATATCACGTGCCCATAGCCAACAGACAAGTCCAGGATAGCACGTGCCCAGGGGCAGCATGGGCGGGCATGGATTGACCTGCCTTTGTTAATGAGCAGCCGGAGTGACGATACAGCTGCCACCTCCCCCTCTTCCCGTTATAGCCCCCCTCTTCTGCCACCACCACCACACATGTGACGAGAGTAACACACATGTGGGAGTCTTCTATTGTCACCACCACAAACAAGATCACCATACCTCTGTTGTTACCAACACTTGTCTTGCCTGCTCTTCCCTGATCATTAACTCCTTCACACTCATCACTAGAGTTAATGTGTTCTATAAGTGGTATTACCTTCAGTAACCATCCAGAATTGGCAGTTTGATTACCAAAGTTGTTTGAAAGTCTTGCAGCAGTGCCGTAGACAGCTGCTGGTGCGATCAATAAGTATCTACCAACTGGTTCTTCAGTCATTATTCCACTCTACAACCACCAAACGATCATTGCATCACCCACAGCTGCTCCTGCCTGCACTCCTGCACTAACAACTAATAGTACATCATCGACTAGTCTTTACAAAATGCTTTCTGTTAGACAGGTAAAGGTGAGTCAACCAGACACACCGTCCTGCAGTGGTACGTCACCTCTCACACACTCAGACACGACACAGATGAAGAGTCATGTCTATATCTTACAGTAAGTTTAATTGACCATAAGCACAAAGAGTTAAAATTCTGATCCAAACTAGAAACTAACAACTTGAAACTGAATTATTCTGAAAGTATATAAACAATACGGAACACAGCCGTACACACAAGCGGTCCATCGCGGAAGGATTGTTGGGTAACAGAATCTTCAACACCTATATAAAACTGAAGTTGATAATATAAGTTATATTGTCATATCCAGCGTGTGTCAGCATATATACTGTACGTGTTGACTACCAACGCCTGGAGAGGTTCTGGCGCTCCTCGTCATGTGTAAGATAACTGACCTGCATCAATCTTCATTATAAAGAGTTACCATGGAAGGCAGACCTACGTCGAGGGGGGGGGATAATACTTTACTAAACACTAAAGATATATAACAGAGAAACGTTACTTTATTAGTTCTTGAACCTTTATTGTGAAGTTCTTCCCTGATGTTTGTGTAACTAATTTTAAAACATTCTTCTGGAGTTTCACTCGCCTCGGCCTGCATCATGCTGGCCTTGAGATAAGTTTGGATATTAATGAGGTAAATGACAGGTGCGCTATAATGTGTGTGTGCGTGTTTTGAAATGTAATGTAAATGCTTTGTGTGTGCGTACAGTATATGAGTGTGCGTGACTCAGAAGTTACCCTATAGGTGTTATGCGTCTGTGTTGTGTCACCCCAACACCTCTCACTCTACCTCCTTGCCTCCCTCTCTTTCCCTCCCTCCCACCAGGTGTGGCACCACGTGCGGCCCACCATCAGCGCCTCTCACCCCTCTTTCCTTTACCTTCCTCTGAATCCTTTGTTGTTTCTCGTTATTCTTCTCTCCCCATTTCCTCCTTTTCTATAATCTCTAAATTGCTCTCATTCAATCATTATGTAGTTGTTTTACCTAAATCTTACTTCCGGAATTGTTTTCACTGTTATCTCCCTTCTTCTCATTATTCTGATTCTACCTCATTCTGGGACGCATCAAAACAACACATAACAGTAAAGGATAACATAACAATACCTCTCCCATACACAGGACCCTGATCAAGTTAATTTCACCGTGTGGCAAATATGGCCTCCTTTTAAAGTTAACACACTCACACACACACACACACATACACACAAACTTATCCAATCAGCTGTTTGCCAAGGATGGTCATCAGGGCAGGAGTGTCACGTCAGGAGTGCCAGAGTAATGACTGAGAGTGTCATTAACGTGGCCCCGGGTGTGGTCACTTCATTAAGGTTGTTTGGTACCAGTCGCCTACACCACCACCTGTACCACCACCTACACCACCACCTGTACCACCACTTACACCACTACCTGTACCACCACCTACACCTGTACACCACCTGCACCACCACTTGTACCACCACTTACACCACCACCTGTACCACCACTTACACCACCACCTGTACCACCACTTACACCACTACCTGTACCACCACCTACACCTGTACACCACCTACACCACCACTTGTACCACCACTTACACCTCCACCTGTATCACCACCTACACCTCCACCTACTGTGTACCACCACCTACACCTGTACCACCACACCTCCACATCACCGCAATATACTCTTCTAATTACACCGCCTGCTACACCATCTGAGCTACCACATTTATCACCACCTACACCATCACTTGCTCAACCAACTGTGCGCCATTATGTACAACCAATACAACCAACCTTCATCACCACCTTCACCATTACTTGCTCAACCAACTGTGCGCCATTATGTACAACCAATACAACCAACCTTCATCACCACCTACACCATCACTTGCTCAACCAACTGTGCGCCATTATGTACAACCAATACAACCAACCTTCATCACCACCTTCACCACCACTTGCTCAACCAACTGTGCCATTATGTACCAACCAATACAACAACCTTCATCACCACCTTCACCACCTATTTCACCGCTTCACATACACCGCCCCAAAAGTCTGTCACCACTACCTGCACCACACTTCTGTCAGTACCACCTATCATCACTTTCTTCAACAGCCCCTCTATCACTGACTCGTCCCCTTCTCTTGTATCCTTGTGAATTTAGTACGACTCACAACCAGAAGAAGAAGGGTGGAACCGTCGATAACAGCCGATATGTTGCGGCGTTGTCACTATACAACTTTCAGGAGTCTCCCCTCACTCAAGGGACGGGCACCACAAACTCCCATCATCACATCACCATCGAACATTACCACTAACCACACACCCACCCCCCCTCGTTCCTCAGTCTTCCTATCTGCTATAAATCGTAACTATGATTCAAGGTAGTCAGGCATACATTAATACTCACGAGCGACAGTATTCTTTCTTTCATACAATGTGGGGAAAAAAAGGGAGAAATCACTAGAGGAGTGGGTAGGGTATAGGCGGGGTGTGTCGGCATGTGCTAGCCAGCCAGCAGCCTCCACCGGTTCTGCCATCTGTCGACCGTCCCAGGACACTGGTATGGGGGGGAGGAATAGAGGGGCTTAGCTAGGGTGAAGAAGGGGTCAGAAGGGAGGTGTGCTGAGGAAGGGGAGAAGGAGAAGAAGGAAGAGGGGGAAGTTAGTTGAATGGAAGATGTGAAGTGGTTGTATAGATGATAAGAGGTTGATGATGGGGAAGGTAGCTGATGGTTAATAAAAATCAAATAAAAGGAGAGAGAGAGAGAAAAGGAGAGAGAGAGAGAGAGAGAGAGAGAGAGAGAGAGAGAGAGAGAGAGAGATTATTTTATCAACTCAAATTCCATTGCACAACTTGTTCATGAAAACAGTAGTTAGTAAATGGCGGGAAAAGAAAGCAAAAGATTACTGAAGTAAAAGTTTGTCTTGCCGTGAGTTAAACATCCAATATTCAACCAAACTTTATCAAATTTTACGTTAAATATTTGCAAGTATGCCACATGGTGTTCACAAGCCAAACAAGGACAAGAAATGTAAAAAATCATTGGAAATACTTACGAATGATGAATTACAATGAATAAAGGATATATGGGATCCAAGGAACCTGAGACCGTGTAAACAAATCATTATTATAATTCAGTACGAGACGCAATGTTGATGGGAACAGCTGAGTTTGTCTGTAGACTGAGGAGCAAAACAAAGACGTAACAAGATGACAAAAGAGGAGAGAGAGGAATATCTCGTGATGAAATTAGGGAGGATCATTATATGGTTTTCAATCTGGAGGATGACTGTTGGGGTGAGGCTGTGGTGAGGGAGGGGTGAAGGGAGGCAGGTGATGCGACGAAGGGGGGTCTGGTGTGAGGGGCCACTTGACTAAGGGACGGGAGGCTGGTGAACATAATCGATTAGTGGGGCACCACCGACACAGATTTCCTGATGGTTTGCTGTTTTGGTTGTGGAGAGACTGCGGGAGATGTGTTGGCCTACCTTGTTTCTGTCGTCAATGCAGGTGGAGATCAGGTCAGTTATGTGGCTGCTCACTACCAACAACACTGGTGGAGGTTGGCCATATTTAATTCGGTTTGTTAACGTCAACAAGTTTAAATGATGGCCAAGCACCGTTCCCAATTT